AGAATTTATAATACAAAATTGACTTACTTGTGTAAGATATACTGTTTGAGAGACACCATATGTTCCCGAAAAAAGAAAATAACTGTTGAATTTAAGAAATAATATTGTTTGCAGATGTGATTTTACAACAGAGGGAGTTAAATGTAAAATTGCAACATATGTGGTAATAGTATAACTTTCTGTGTGTAGCTGGTATTTTACTAGTTTTCCAAAGAAATCATGAGTTATTTTTTTACTAAAAACACAAGTCCTTAATGAAATAATATTGTAAGTGTCTTATTGAAGTGCTAAATCTAAAATTTGGTTTTGTATGGTGGCTGATTTCTGCAATTTTCTTATTTCATTTTGTCGCAGCTGAGCGTACGACACGAAGAAAGAGGAACGAAAAATGGAAAACAATATTTTATTGCGGCATGAAAAAAAAATTGTATGCGCTCACTCATTTTTTTCTTTATTTCGTGTAATCATGGTTGAAGGGCCCATTGCGAAATAATGACAAAGGGAAAAGAGAGCTTCATACCTAAAGAAACATTGTTTCTCATTCTGGCACTCTTTTTGACACCATAGTTATGCAAAGTAAATTAGTTGGACTATTTATTCACTTAAACGTAGATCTGTCACGCAGTAATGCTTTTGAATACCATTGTTAATTTGAAATGTCTTTTTTGTTTAAATGATGTTCTGTGATTATATTTTGATAATTATAAAAAGTTAATATTATTCATTGACGCATACGCACATAATTTACTACTGTTGCTTCTGTTTTGGTGGATAGAGTGCCAAATCTATTTAACCTTTTTTCTGTAGAATCAGACATCTTTAAAGAATTCTATAAGAACAGAAATCCAGATGGAAATAAATTTCAATTACATACTGTCAGTGAAGAATATATATATATAAAGAGCTTTGTAAATTAAATTGTTCTAAAAGCACAGGATTAGATGAAATTCCAGCAAAATTTCTTAAAGATGCTGCACCATTTTTAAAGATACATATTACCTTTTTAGTGAATAATTCTATTACATCTAAATCAGTTCCAAATGAACTGAAATGTGCTAAAGTCAAACCATTATTCAAAAAGAATAACAGATCGGATGTTTCCAACTATAGACCTAGCAACAGATCGGATGTTTCCAACTATAGACCTGTCAGTATTTTATCTATTGTTTCAAAAATCTTAGAAAGAACTGTATATAATCAGTTAGAAAATTTTTTAGTTTAGCAGGGACTATTATATGAATTACAATGTGGTTTTAGATGTAATTATTCTACTGACTCCTGCCTAATCCATCTCACTGACCATGTAAAAAGTCAAACTTCCAAAGGACTGCTCACCGGTATGATTATGTTAGATTTACAAAAGGCGTTTGACACTGTGGACCATGACATCTTGTGTAGAAAGTTACAAAAAATGGGTGTGGAGTCAGTAGAATGGTTTCAATCTTATTTAACTGGTCGTAGTCAAATTGTAAATGTAAATAATACTATGTCTGAAGCTATGAATATTACATGTGGTGTTCCTCAGGGAAGTAAATTGGGTCCTCTATTGTTTCTATGTTATGTCAATGATATGAGTAGTAGTATTAGCAAAACATGTAAGCTTATTCTTTATTCAGATGATAGTGCAATTTTATATTCACATAAAGATTCAGATGTTATTTGTAATGTTTTGGGTAAGGAACTAGAAAATTGTAGTAAATGGCTTGTTGATAATAAGCTATCATTACATCTTGGTAAAACAGAATGTATTGTTTTTAGTTCTAAGAGGAAATTGTCAAAACTAGAGCAGTTTAAAATACACTGTAATAATCACACCATACAATCTCAGCCATCAGTAAAGTATCTCGGTTCTATCTTGGATAATGATCTCTCAGCCACTTCTATTGTTGATAATATAGTACAAAAAGTAAACTCTCGATTAAAATTTTTGTATAGACAAGGCAACAGTTTGAATATGGAGCTAAGAAAACTATTATGAAACTCTTTAATACAGTGTCACTTCGATTATGCCAGCTCATCTTGGTATAGTGGCCTTACTAAACAACTTACACATAAACTTCAAGTAGCACAAAACAAAGTTGTTCGTTATATTCATGGTTATTCCTCCAGAAAATCATTGAAAGTTATTGATTTTAGCAACTATTGGGTGGCTTAATATAGCAAATAGAGTCATACAATTAAGACTCAATCATGTACACAAAGTATTTAATAAATAATGTCCATCTTATATGTATGATAACTTTTCTTTAAAGTCTGATGTTCATTGTTATAATAGTAGAAACAGTGTAGGGAACTTTCATATACCTCATGTTAATAGTTTTACAAAAAGTACATTTTTTTACCAGGGTATTAGGGATTGGAACATGCTCCCACTTGATATTAAAAAGGAAAGTAACCTTTTTTACTTTAAAAAGAAAGTAAAAGCTGAACTAAGCAAAAATATGAAACAATTTGAACAAGCTGATTTTATTTTTTATTAGTTTTAGAGATAATTGTTTTAATCAATATAGTATGTTTTATATAAATGTATCTTGTGATTGGTTTTGTGATATATATAAATAGATATCTTTCATTGGTGTGTTAACTAGTCATATTCATAGTATTATTCCTGCAAATATGTGATATATGTAATTAACATAATGTGCAATAGATATTAATATTATTTGATCTTGGAAATTTAACATCAGTCCAGTATATCACCTCTAAGTATAGACCTGAATGCCAGTTCTCAAGAAAATATATTCTATACCATCAAAGGACCCCATTGGAAATAAGTTCTCTATTTTATATTGAACTTTCATGGGTTATCCTGTGTTGTATATATTGTCTTGAAGTCAACAAGATCTTTGATTTAATTATGAATGTAAAGTTATTATTTTTCAATTAATTACTGTGTTAAAAACAATGTGATAGATATATCTGTGATAAATTGTCTTAATTTGTTTTGTAATATGACATATATATATATACACAAATAAATCAATCAATCAAAGACCGAAGGGTACGAGCCGCTTAAAATCGTGTTGTTCACATTTATAGCGAAGGTTGTGAACAACTGAATTGTGAAAATTAGAATATGGGATAGGTTATTGGAGTTTTATTTTTAAGAATAAATTTGTGTGGTTTTGAATAGCAAGCTTTACAATACATTTTGCAGTACACTTTCGGGGACAAATTTTCGGGTAATTTGTCCTAGTTTTCGGAGAAAATGACCATTTTCAACTTCAGATTTATATCAGATCTAGCCCATTTAGAAATAAAACAATATACTAGAAACAAATTTTAACACTCCTCGTAAGTTTTAAAGGCATTCATTTTCATGACTTTGATACTTTAAGAACCTTGCAGTTTTAATCTTACCCTACGAAAGATGTAAAATTTTGCGATTTTGCTCAATTTCACGCATATATTCTGAAGACAATAAATATTGTCAATATTCAAAACATGCGCCGAAATAATTGTTCTATGCTGAAGATGTATAACAATTTTCCAAGCCCTTTGTTTGTAAACAAAGTTACATGCAGATTAAAAAAACATGTATAAACCATGATGATATTACGCCCATGTGATTAATACGAGAAAAGATGTTGAAGTTGAGTCGAGTCCAGCAAGACAAGTGGTGCTCTTGATTGATTATACAGACACCACGTGATCATATAGATAATTGTATACGGCGCTATACCCAGGTTCTCCGAACTCTAATTGCCAACCAGTGGCTAGGATGGTGGTGTTTGAACGCTACTTTCAATTTACTCGTGTTAAGAATATATAACACAATACTTTAATACTATGAGATTTATAAAAATGACAATCATCAAATTCATTTATCAATTGGGCAAATAGATTATATTTAAAACAAGAATCTTCTAGTTATGACTATTTATCAAGAAAGAATTTCTAAATATTTATTAATAAGTTTATACTAAATTCATAAGTCATATAGATTTAAATATAGTCAAAACTATAAAGTTTTGAAAAGTGTCAAAGCTTTGAAGTGAACTGACCTGTCGGGTAGTTCCCAAGACCGCAAATTTAGAAAATCTCCCGGTATTTATGCACTGGAAATGAGACTATAAGATGAATTGGTCTAAATAACCCATAACATGTTCTTAACTAATCGAATAATTTCAATCAAGTCCACAAATGAAAATATAGAATTAAACCGAAAGCACCAATCACATTAACTATGGGAAATAAGCGAAAAGTGCATTAATAACGGAACAACTTACAATTAACAGATTACTATAAAATGCAGCCCTATCACATTACATGCATGTCGATCACTGAGTTGGTTATTTTGTGTGGCTATAAACTTGTTATTTATGTTAGGACAAATTACTTTGGTTTTAGTTTGAGATTAAGCTAAAGTCTTTAATTTAGGTTATTTTTTACTAGCACGAGGATTGTTCAAATAAGAATGCATCTAAGCACGTTAAATTTTATTCTTCATAGGAGTCGTAAGAAATCATCCCGCGTTTTTTTCATATCATTCATATTATTATGTTTAATAACAATGTACGGTAATTCCAGCAAAGAACTGCATTTCCCCAGCATTTTCCCAATGCTTTATAGCATTCATATTTGGCTACAAATTTTAAATATTTATTAAAGAAGTTGGTAAATGTTCATCAAAACATATTATTCAAACCTTATCAAACTGTATGAATTATCTTTGGTTGCAAACGCAATTAACAAAACAAAACAAATTTATAACAAAAAACAATTGACAAACAACCGGAATTTCAAGAATCTCATTTTTGTCTTTATTCTATTTATCAATGTCTTTTTGCCCAGCGACTGCATAAGAAATCTAATCCATGCCCTACATTTCCGATTTTCTAGTACCATATGTGCACATTTAATGTCACTTTGCCTTCCAATATTGATTTTTATGACAATTGCATTAAAGTTATTTAGATATGCAGTGACAATCTGTGCTTTTGTGCACACTCGTTTGTCCGTTACAGCAGTAGTGACTGGGTAAAATCAAGTTTAAAACGAAACAGTGTTACCATTATATCTAGTGCGAATTCATCCACTCTTCACGATTCCTATCATTATTTTTGGAGTTTTACTTATACTATCCTCTGATTACTGTACTTTCCTTCAGTATGTACTGTCTGAGAGAAAGAAAGGATGTAAACAAGGAACTGTTTGTTTGTATGCTCATGATTTGTTCGGTAATATTCTTGTTTTATTTTCTTGATAGCACCTCTATCGTACACGATTATGTTGAACGTATAAGATCTTATAATGAAAGTACACATTTGTATTTACAAAAAAAGTATTTCGGAGAAAACAGTAAACAGAAAATAATCGGCTGCAAGAATATTTTCAAATGGGATATGCCGGGAGTAGAAACAGCTCGTAATATTGTCACTCAGGATTTAAAATATTGGACACACATCAAATATCAAGATCTAACTAGAAATTGTTCTTGTTTTTTCGACAAAAGAGGGTATATTACACATTTTTTGACAACAGAAGAACAGCAATTTCCCATTGCTTTTAGTATTTTAATGTATAAAAATGTACAGCAAGTTGAACGACTTTTACGTGCAATATACAGACCACAAAATATTTACTGCATACATGTCGACTTAAAAGCAAATATTGACATTTATAAATCGATGTCAGAAATATCGAATTGTTTTGAAAATGTGTTTGTTTTACGTAAAAGAATAGAAGTTGTATGGGGCATGATGTCCGTATTAACACCAGAACTTTTATGCATGGAAGAACTTTGGAAAAGACACAAAACTTGGAAATATTTTATTAATCTTACAGGGCAGGAATTTCCATTGAGGACAAATTATGAACTGGTGAAGATTTTAAAGGCGTATAATGGTAAAAATCACATAAATGTTGCTACAAATGGGTAAGTATGAGATAATTCATGTTTGAATTCAGTTAAGAACTGCTGAAAAAAAAAACAATTTATTTTTTTTACTTTTTCAAAAATGTTTACGATCGTAAATAATACAAAAAAGAACATTGATTTAATTTGGTAAACATGAATGTCTATGTTGTCCTTGCAGATCCCGAAGGTGTAGCGGAAAAAGCAGAACCCCTCCCCCTTACGGTATTCAAATAATGAAGGGGGCAGTTCATGTAGCCGTTACACGGAGTTACGTTGACTATGTTCTACATGACCGTAGAGCTCGTGTTATTTTAAAATGGATGAGTCACGCATGTGAAGTACCAGACGAAGAATTCTTTGCAACCCTTAATTATAATGCACATTTGCAAGTACCTGGATCTTATAAAGGTATGAATTAATGTTTACAAATACTTATATTAGTATTTAAAGTGTAGACGTCATCTTAAAATTTAATATCTCTGTCATATGTAGTTGTTGCTTGACTTGCTTCCATCACCTGATATGTCGCCTTTATGAGTTTTGATGTTTTGTTACAATAAAGTGATGGATCAATCCAAATAGCAAAGGCTATCAGGATAAAAACGGTTCATCAACTAATAATCAAAACTAGGTCAAATATTTACCTTCATCTGATAGACTTTTGAATATTGAATTTCATTTTGTTCTCAAAATATATGAAATATCAAGAATGTTGCTAACCAATTTATGTGTTAATAAAATTAGGATGAATTTGTCAAACGAGATCAGACAAGACTTCTTTCTTTGGAAATTAAGTGATTTATTGTAAAAGACCACGTGTTTCAAATGGTCAATCGTTTTTTAATGTGGACCAACTTAAAGATAATTGGTCTTTAAAAAAAGACCTGTTATTACATAAATAATTATCATATTTCGACCTCTGTTAAAACTCCGTAAAACCTGTTTTTAGTTTTTTTTTCTTTTCTTGTTTGCGCCGATACAGAACATAAATAAGTGACGTTGTGTGTATTTGCTATTATTACGAAAAAGTATTCTTACGCCTGATAGATATAATAAAACGTTGACGATTCGTCACTTGAAAACGGAAATGCCAATTGTGCACGCTGTATTTAAAACAACAGCCTGTCCGAAACAATTATGTCAGACTCACGAAACTAAGGTAAGTGTACTGCTTTTCACATGGCAATTTAGCAATCTTTACTACAAAAGTTAAAACCTCTATTTACTGTATAAGTCGATATGTATGCGTCACAAAAATTGTGCGAAAGTGGATTTCTTGAATTTGATGCTGTTTTGTAATATCATTAATTACACAGGTACATGTTAAGAATATGCCGTTATTGTAATTGTTAAAAACTTTTATTATACATTGTAAGTTGAACCTGTTAACACATTTCTTTTTATATGCCCGGGCATATTATGTTATACCCCCTAGCGTCCGTCCGTTAGCAATTTGGTTTCCGGAACATAACTTAAGTTCCATTTGGCCCACAATGTTCAAGCTTCATAGGATGATTGTCCATATTTGGTAGAAGACCCCTATTGAGTTCGGGGTCAATAGGTCAAAGGTCAAGGTCACTATTACCTTAAACTTGACAACAGTTTCCGGAGCATAACTTTAGTTCAATTTGACCCACAATGTTCAAACTTCATAGGATGATTGTCCATATTGGGTAGAAGACCCCTATTGATTTTGGGGTCACAAGGTCAAAGGTCAAGGTTACTATTACCTTGATACTGAAAACAGTTTCCGGAGCAAGTTCCATTTGGCCCACAATATTCAAACTTCATGTCATATATAATTGTTCATATTGGGTAAAAATCCTCATTTGATTTTGGGGTCAAAAGGTCAAAATTCAAGGTCACTATTACCTTAAAATTGAAGACAGTTTCTGGAGCATAACTTAAGTTCCATTTGGCCCACACTATTCAAACTTCATAGGATGATTGTCCATATTGGGTAGGAGACCCCTATTGATTTTGGGGTCACAAAGTCAAAGGTCAAGGTCACTATTACCTCAATACTGAAAACAGTTTCTGAAGCATAACTTGAGTACCATTTGGCCCACAATATTCAAACTTCATAGGATGATTGTCAATATTGGGCAAAAGACCCATATTGATTTTGGGGTCACTAGGTCAAAGGTCAAGGTCACAACTACCTTAAAACCAAAAACAGTTTCCGGAACATAACATAAGTTCCATTTGGCCCACTATATTCAAGCTTCATAGGATGATTGTCCATATTGGGTAGAAGACCCCTATTGATTTTGGGGTCACAAGGTCAAAGTCACTTTTACCTTAATACTAAAAACAGTTTCTAGAGCATAACTTCAGTTCCATTTGGCCCACACTGTACAAACTTCATAGGATGAGTGTCCATATTGGGTAGAAGACCCCCATTGATTTTGGGGTCAAAAGGTTACTTTTTAAGTTCTTGTATTGTATTGTCTTCATACATACTTGGCCGACAAGACCTTCAAGTAGACCAGATAAGACTTTACATCCATTCATAAATGACCTTGAAATTCAAGTTTGAATGTCAAAATTTAATAGTTTTGTTTTTAAGGATTCGCCTTCAAATTTGAACATAATAATATTCTAGGATAGATTGTCAAGTTAAAAAGAAAAACATTGACCTTCATTCATATATGACCTTGACCTTGAAGGTTATTGTTATTTATAAACGGATTTACTTCACACTCAGATACAAGATTCTGTAGGATAAGACCCATATGAATATTAAACTCAAATAACTTTTGCTCATATTTGTTCTTGACCTTTAAGGTTAAATTATTAGAATTTTACTGATGTTTGCTATAAATGACTAAAGCTTGGTAATAAATTAATGAATTGTCGTCATAATTCAACAAAGACATTTTGTAAAAAAAGTCGAGCGTTGCCTCCGCCCGGCGTGGTTTTTGTTTAAATAATAGTAATAATAAACTTAAGTAACTAAATAAACTATACGTTAATATTGAAAAGAAAGTAAATTCTTTAAAATTTAAGGTTTTCTGCAAATTTTGCGCATTGAAAATAGTTCACTTTGATTAAATGTTGTTGTCTTATTTAAGCAAGAACTATATATATATATTAGCAAAAACATCCCGAGATGTCACCCAGCCAGTGTATATCCTCGTAAATAACGAGTTTCATATACTATAACTGTTTTATCACAATGGCATAATGTTTTGATTTTTTTGTAATAGAAATAAATAAATAAATTTTAAAAAATCGTAGCTACATTACAGTTATTTATGATCATTTTATGATTTTTTTCAATTTGTTTTCGCTGCCTTTAAAAAGATATACAAAAGATATCCAATGTTAGATTGCAAACTGTTACCAATATTGATTCAAGATTAAAGGGTTTTTTTTTTCAGTGGAAATAATTCATTCAGCGGATGTACCTTTTGATTAAATGAGAGTAAATTCATTTCATTAATTATCTTTGTTTGTATTTTTCATTGTATTTATTTATTTCATTTTATTTTATTGATTCCTTGTTTTTGCTACTGGGAATGTTCGTTACCACTGCCCCATTGGAGCCTCTGCGAGAAAAACTACATTGATATACAAGGTGCGAAAAAAACTCAACCACTATATAGCAGTCGAGCATGTTCCAATATGAATCAATGAAAAACTGTACTGCTATGTATCAATACAGTTTTCAATTGCTAAAATATATATATTGTTTAAAGCTATATATATATATATTCTGGTAGTTAATTGTAAATACATTTTTATTGACATTGATATTTGAAAGTTTTAACAGTAGACATTGATTCAAATAAGCCTTTTAAAGAAAAAAACATGGAAATATATACAAAGTTGTTTTTGTAAAAATAAATTCATTGATAAGAAGTACAGAATAGTCTAATTCAAAACAGTAATATATATATGAGGCGTGCAGTTCAATTAGGGCGCACGCACTCTTTTACTTGAGGCCATAATCCGCTTTTATGGAATGACACTACTGTGTCACATTGAAGGTTACATGATAACCGCCGTATGAAAATATCTGCGGATTTTTCTAAGTTCAAAATTTTACCATTTTCGTGTTTAAATACTGAATTCTACTTAAGCCGGTGCTAGAGGCGTGAACTGTTATTTGCACATGTCAGTACTATCCCTGGACAGGTTTTATCAAACCGAGCCTGCAACATTGTCAATTTTGCCGTGTTTGACTTTCTTTAGGGTTTCTTTTTTTTCTCTATATTTTATATTTGCAATTACCACTATCGTCCATAAACAGGGTCAATCAAATTTGAACAACAAGATCAATAAGGACGAGTGGTATTCAATGAACACGTCCCCATACACGACCCAGCAACACGGGACTATCTGTAAGGAACCGATTTAATGTCGCAGAATTGTCTGCCTTTTCATGTTTGACACGAAATTGTAAGTCGTAATATGTATGCTTTCATTGCGTAATTGCTAGAAATATCGGGAAAACATCGCTTTATTAACTGCAACTTCTGAACCTAGGCAAAGCTTATTCCTCAAAGAAGTTGCGTATTTTTCTTCAAGTTAACAGTATGTACTTACTAATAAGCCATGTGGTTTACTGCATCGACTGAGCTGACAAACTGGCAATCAATAATGTTGATGTATATTTCAACATGCGACACTAAAAAAATGTCAGATATAATGTGATTCATGTAAACAAACATTAAAGTGCACGTTTTTAATTGTATAAACATTGATCTCAAAGTTAAATAATAGCTTAAAATAAATGAGCAGGAAGATGCTATAGAGATTGTTGCAAGCTGTCATAATTTGTTGATTACGTTGCAGCTGAAAGTGGTTAATCATTTGTTTTTGATTTTTTTTTAAATAACGCAAGCCATAAACGTCAAGGCAGACATGTTTACATAACCTGCATAACTAGGGTTGCATGCAAAGTATATCCGTATGGCATGATCACCACGGTGCGTAGATATGTTGGATTATTAGATTGTCGCTAAAGTGAGTCTGAAATACAAAATATCATCACTAAGATGAATTTATAGAGAGAAACAAACAGACTGACACATTTATTATAGATGAATGATCAGCTTAGCCATATTGAATTATGCATGTCAGTTAAAAGATCCAACATCATATTTTGGTTCTTTGTGGCGATTTCTTATAGCTACCCCCGTTGCAAATTATCTGAAATAAGACGATATCATTTACTATTTCCAACGCTCATTTTTAAACCAAAGATAGAGAAAATAAGAATCCCTATAGAACCTTCAATGTGACACTTCAATGCCATTCCACGAGAAGCGGCGCATTTTGCCATAAATGAGAAAACATTGGGCGAAACTAAATAAAATGGAATTTTGAAACGGGATCAGAGGATATGAAGCCTACAGGTAACAGAAAAGACGTCAAACGACAGATGTAAAAAGCAGGCAACA